AGCAAAGATCATTTGGCCTGTAGCAGCCATCCTCCCTCTCCCACTGTGCTGAATGTGCTACCACCCACTGGTGGTCTCATGCTACTAGTATTTGACAAGGACACCAAGAGAGAAATCAGTGGGATAAGGAGGGAGTGAAGGTCTGTGGCCTCCAACTGCTAGACCCTCTGGGGCATTGACTTGTCTCTCCACTGCACCTGTTGTCATTGATTTGCACCTGTGCAGGTGAAATGGATTCCCAGCGGCTCAGATTTCCTACCTGGACAGACTGATATTTCTCAAGTTTAACAGACTGTACCGTGATGTTCATGCTGTGTAATATTGTAAAAATGTAATACGTGAAGCTGTATGTTATACTTTATGTTGTAAACAGCTTTTTTTGTTGTTTACCTGCACCTAGGTGTGGTCTGCCGATGCTGGTATGGCTCACAGTCCTCCAACTGACTTGCTGTGGAAAAGCCAGGCTTCCTGGGGCACAGGAAATGACATAGTTACCTCTTTGGTCAATGCTGATGGCGAGGTAAAGACGTCCGTGCATAGCTAACTAAACCAGTTTCCTTTGTTTGAAATTCGTACATGGTTTCTATTTTTTGAGTCATGCGGTGTTTGTCTCACAGGAGGTGGCCAGGAGGACTGTAACCAACACTCAGGTGGATGTAGATGATGTTGATGGCGAGGAGGAGACAGTGGCACAAACGGTACACTTGGCCAACAATTTTTCTTTTCTTTACCTTTTTGGTAAAACTTTTTGTTTGGCTCAGTGTAAAGGAGCAGGGCTGTCACTGCAGTTAGATTAGATGTTAAGAAAACTATGAGCTCATTTTGACTTGATGACAGCAGCAGGTAGCAGAGCAGTTGGACAAGGTCAATAAAAGGTTGATGAAGTAAGTGGCACTAAAAAGAAAGAGCTGGAGGAACATTTAGCAGCCACTTAGGTTAATTGGCAACATGTGAGTCACATGACTGGGTCTAAAAGAGCATCTTAGAGAGGTAGAGGTTCACCATTCTGCAGAAAACTGCGTCTACAAATTGTTTTTCAGAATGTTTCTGAATGTAAACATGTGAAGACTTTGAGTAATTCATCATCTGTAGTTCATAATATCATCATTGTTAGATATCTGCATCACCAGGCCCTCAAAACGGGCATGATTGTGTGGTGGAAATCAGTGCATGGGCTCAGGATCAGTGTGTGAACACAGCTCAGCGTGCCCTCCACAGATGCAGGTTAGAGCTCTGTCATGCAAAGAAGCAGCCACATCGGAGTGTTATCCAGAGACACTGCTGTCTTCTCTGGACCAAAGCCAGTTTAAAATAGACTGAGGTAAAGTGGGGAAACTACTGAGGCCATACTAACCAAAATCAGTGCCTATGGAAGTGGCAGTTTGCACCAAAAAAAACAGGACAAAGCAGGGTCAGAACTGCTGAGCAGCTGGAATCCTCTAACAGAGAAGAATGGGACACATTCCTCTTCCACAAGTCCAACAGCTGCTCTCCTCAAGTCCCACACACTTGTGGGTTGCTGTTAGAAGAAGAGGGAATGCTACACAGTGCTGCATGTGACCCTGCACCAACGTATTTATGACTTGTGGCTGCGATCACATTCAAAATGAGCTCATAGTTTTCATAACATGTTTATTAACTGAGGTTAAACAGTGTAGAACACACGGTCTGTCTCAGTCAGCACCTGTTGTAGGCTGTTGGATGGAGTCAGTCTTTGGAACTTGTACATCTGTACTGCTACACATGGAAGTCTCCCAATAACAAACCTTTTTGTTTCTCCTACAGGGAAAAGTGTCGTCCAGAGAGTGTGCCATCATGTGAAGCCGTCCTCATAAGTAGATGGCTTTTACCCTTTATATACTACTTTTTTCTTCTAGAGCCATTCAGATATGATCCTGTCCATTGCCTCATTATGTGATGTTTTTACTATTCAAGATCATTTTTTGTATAATGGACTTGGTTTTTATAGCTTTCCATATTTCTGCACCTACTTTAATGAGTCAATAAAAATTAGTCAGACGCCAGCAACGATGGATTAGACATGATGGATCCCAACTCCTAAGCACAACAGAACATGGTATATAGACACTATATATGGTATATAGAATATATATACTATATATAGTATATATGCTATGTACACCCGCTGTATACTGGATATGTACTGGGTAAAATGCATCTGTTATCAAACCCCTTTCTTGTGACATCAGGGCCTTTCTGAATGTGTTTCTAACTTTAACATTTATTGCGTGGATACTCATGTTTGTCTGCTGCATGTTTTTTTTTTTTAGTATTTTTTGAAGTCTTCCTTTCACTTGCATCCAAATGCAAATGAAACTATACATTCTTGTTCAGTTACCTTGGATTTCCCTATTCAAAAGGTGGTTTGCAAATTGACCGGATCCAGTTCTTCTACTTTGGGCTCAATCTAACCACCTCTAACCTTTGAGGTACACTCGGTTGATACTTGACCTTCTGGTCACAACCCAGAACTCTTTGTGACTATGCTCCGTACATTTCTCTTCCTTATTTCTTCAAAGGTGAAGATAAAACGTTCTAAGATTTCTGAAAACTAAAAGCAGCCTCCTTTTTTTGTTAAATGTGGCTCCCAGTTGAGCTGCAGGCCGAAATCCATAAAGCCAGGAAAAAACACAAGACAACTGCCAAACCTAAAATCACGCAGCTCTCCCGTCTGTGTTCTTACGACCCTCAACAAGACTAGCATGGTCAGAATTATGTGATGCACGTGAACCCTGCTTTCCTGGGGAAATGTGCTTTGTTGAACTCAGTCCTATCCACACCTAGAAGAGCTGCGAGTGCTCCAAAGCAGCTGTGTAAACCCTGACAGCAGACCCAGAGGAAGTCCAGGGCCCTCACACCGCTCCATTACAGTGTTTGAATGTTCTTATTTAGCTCTTATTTTTTGAATTACACTGCAACTTGTTGCCTAGACTGGCTTTATTTGTTGCTAATAGTTTTTTGTAGAGATTTTCTTAGTGAGGCCAGCACTTTTTTTTTTTGACCAAAAAACACTAGTGGTTCATTTTGACTGGCAACGCTTCTGTTAGCAGGTGCGTGTCTATGCTGCCCGTGTGTAGTCTGCAGAGGAAGAAATCTGCACTTGTAACAAAAACTGACCGATGCCTCCAGAGAACCAATGGAACTAAACTTCAGAACAATAATAGAACACTTACTACAAATGCTGACATTGTAGGGTGGGTGGCATCTTCTTACAGTCTGCTGTTCTGCCTCTTGTTGCCGTTTTCAGTTTTCATTCAACAAAGTTGGAGAACTAACTGGTGCTTCTCAGACTTGCTAAATGTTGCGTCTCTGAGCCAAAACACTCATCCCAGAAACAGGACGTATGTGTGCAGACAGACAGGATATTGGACTCATCTAACCAACATGCCAGGCTGTTAATAAGCACCTGGATCTGCAGAGTGGAGCTGAGGCTTTAGGGTTTAGGAACATTTACCATGCAGCGGCCAGTTTTTCTTTGCCTGGGTTTGTTCTTCTTTGGACAGTGCAGTGTCAATTGGATTAGGTTAGATGATGAAATTAAAGTTAAAGCTTTCTCAATCTGAAACCTAAAACTGACAAAATTTTTGAAGTGTGTGGGATAAAGGATGGAAGTAAGATTCCTGTTTCCTCAGACTTTTGCAGGTCTGACGTGATATTTCGAGTACACGGTCTCCGTCTGTACTCTGTTTCTGACTTGAGCACACTGTATGAGTTTTTCTCATACCTGCTGTGTGTTATTGTGGAAACAGCTCTCTCTCGTGTGTTTGTGTTGTGTGATTTACTAGTTCTATGTAATCAGTTTAACTTTTTTTTTTTTTATGTGTGTACAATTCTTAGATTGGCTCTGGTAGGGTTTTTGTGACTTAATGAAACTGGGAAACTCGACGTTATATTTCAGGGTCCATGTAAAAAATAAACAAAAAAATTAGCTAAACACTATTCCTGTAGTGTTCCACTAAAAAGTCGAAAGGCTTCACTTGATACGAACAGTTAATATAAAATGTTTTGATTTCTATTGGGAGAAAGCACCAGTTGCTTTACTAATAACTGAAAAGTAACCAACATTGATGACAACAAAAGTCCGAAGAACCGGAGAAATGCTATTATTCATGTAGGGGTTATGGCATGTATTGTCTGTTTTATCTATGATTTTCTGTCAAGCTACTTTTTGTACACTTAATAAATGTTTTACACATATGTATGTGGTATCAAGAGTCTTCTATGTGCATACAAATCATTAATATTAGTGGGGTGAGGCGTGTTTATAAAGAATGCCTTGAACAGACATCATTTGATAGCTCCTCAGTAAAAACAATATGAGTCAAATAATAGCCTTTGAGGAACTTGCTGTTTATCTGACAGACACTGCAGAGTCCAGGGTCGTCCGATTTAAAAATGCCACTTAATTAGAATGATTTTACAAATAACATGGGTCAGTGTGGCCCCACAGCTCAACAGTCTCTGCTTCAATATGTGATGAGACATGTCATTGAAGGCATTTGTACTACAACCAAGTCATTTTAACCTGATATTAGCATTTATTATTAACTTGAGGTGACACAAATATCAAACATTTGAAAGATTGAATATGACTTTTTTGCATCAGAGTAAAACTTCCAGCTCTGAGTAGGCCAACACCCGTCAGACCCTTGACTGAAGGTCGGAGTGACCGTCAATAAACTACGTTAAATTACAGGTGGCCCTACCCTTAAACACAAGAACATTTATAACCAATACGTCATTAAAAGAAAGGCAGGCCCTTGCTTCGACCAATGGGAGCGCGGGAGAGAAACACGTGAGTGGAGCTGTGACACCCCCTCACCTGAAGCCAGAGGTCTGAGAGAGCTCTCGTTTGCCTGACTGAGCTACAGCAAAAGCCTCTCGAGTCTACGAGCGGGACCTGGAGCTCCTTGGAGAGCGGGAAATAAACAGTTTTAGGGGTTTCTGAGGAAGGGGTTTGACGTTTAGAAGCAGTAAGACCTGCGATGTTTCTGGACACTGATTTCTTAGTCCACTAACCGACTGGTAGAGCTGCCACTCCACCACATCTAAGGTGACGGCAAAGGCCGTCGCCTGCTGGGTAACGTGTTTCAGCCAGGCATGTCCATCAGAAGGGCCGGGGGTAGACCCGGGAACAGCTCGATGGCTCCCCGGAGGAGGTGGTGGTTAGAGGGAGGTCCGAGCTTCCCTGCTGCTGCCTCAGCCAACCAATTTAAGATACTTTCAGTCGCAGTTTATTAGTGTTTGTTTACTTTGTTGTTAATTTGTCATGTTTTAGTAATACATTGAAGATCTTTTGTAGTAAAATGTTTTCATATCATAGGGCATCACCCATGCACTGAAAGTTAATGTTTTGTATTTGATTTAAAACAACAACAACAACAACAAAAGAAAAACTAAGCTATTTATTTTTACTTCTTTGGACATTTATTATTATCATCATCATCATTGTTATTATTATTTGAGTTTAAAAAAAGCATAAAGAGGGAGAGTAACAATCAGCCACATATTCATCATGACATCATAGCTCCAGCAGGGTAAACTTAAATTGCGGTAATCAATCTGAAAACACATTTTCACAAAACAGTGAGCAGCCTGTGATGTAATCTTGGTAATGAGCAAAGAGCTCTGACTGGTTTGTGGCCCATTCCTGCATTTGCTTTAGCTTTAGAAAAAGGTTACAAAGTAGCTAAAATCACAGAGGTATAGCATTTCAACAAAGACTGTCCAAATTCCAAGGCTCCTCCAAATGCCCAGATTTGAAGGATGGCTCATGTGTTTTCCTTGTGGCCCACCCCATCCCAGCATTCATTTTGGGCCATCTCACATGCCCACGCTCTCCATCTTTCCCTGCTGCTGCTCATTAAGTGGATTAACCTTGTATGCCTTTGTCAAGTAAATGGGACGCAGCATATGCATATAAACGGCAAAAAAATAAAAATGTCATGTTCTTGGAAGGCTTTTGTGCTGCTGCAATGAATCCGGCCCAAAATGTTCCTTTTCTTTTGGAATGAAGAGATTTGTCACAGGATATTCTTGTTTAAATGATCTGCATAAAACAACAGAGATCGAACACATTGTGGTGAAAATGCACATTTTGTTGTCTATCTTCTTCACAGTGTAGTTTCAGCACAGCAGACATCTGATCTCACATTGTTAAGGACAGCGCTGTGAGGTTTTTCATATTCTTGGTGCACCACTCTTTTCCTAAGTACTTATCAGTAGTATTACCAACTTCTCCTTGACCTTAATTATATTTTCATTGAGGTCAAAGAGAAGAGGTTAGGAAAACGAGATGGAGGCTTTTGGAATGCACCCATAGAGCAGATAGAGGGTCTGGACTTTAGATGAAAAGGCTGATTACAGATGAAATGAACCGAAAAATGGGTCTCATGAAGAGTGATGAAGCCACATTTGCAATTTTTGGTTCAAATCTTGATTGACGTTACAGTAAAGCTGCCTACGATAGTAAGAGAGTATAATAAAGGTGCTCATACCAAATCTTGGCTTTCAAGCTCATTACAAACTCTGTTTTTGTTTTATATGTTCATGCATGTTTGCCCATGTTTCAGGCATTTGCTGCACCAGCTTCCCATTGTCCTAGCAAAATGTAAAGAAACAGTGGATGAAGGGGTCAAGACTTCTGTACAGCTTTTCAATAGGACTGAGGTTTGGAGACGGGCTAGGCCACTCCATTACAACAACAACTTAGTGTGCTTCATTTTTAACCACTCCTTTGTTGCCTCGACGATATGTTTTGAGTCATTGACCAATCTTCAGTGTCCTGGCTGAGGGAGGGAGGTTCTCGGTCAGGATTTTATTGTGAAATTGTCTTTAGCAGAAAAAAAGCCCAAACTACGATGTTTCCACTTCCGTGTTTGATTGTGCAGATGATGTTCTATGAGTCACAATTAACCTTTCTCTGCCTCCATAGATGGCGGGTGGAGCTGATGTCAAAGAGCTCAATTCTTGTTTCATCTGACTTCAGCATTTTCTTCCAATCCTTCTCTGAATTGTTTAGATGTTTTCTAGCAAACTTAAGACAGGCCTGTACATATGCCTTCTTGACCAGGAGGACCTGCAAGATTTCAATCCATTACAATGCAGTGTGTTACCAATGGTGTTCTTGGTGACTAATCCCAACGGCATCAGATCATTAACAAGCAGCACTTATCTCGTGATCAGCTTCACCCATGAGGCAAAATTTTGTATGGAGCTTCAGACTGACTGTGAATTATTTTCATTTTATATTGCTTCCATTTCCAAATAATCTCACCAGCAGTTGTCATCTTCTCACCAAGCTTTTTTTGTTAATGTTCTTGTAGCTCATTTCAACTTTGTGCAGGTGTACAGTTTGTCCCTGATGTCTCTTAAAGCTCTTTGGTCTTGACCATAGTGGTGGAGCATTTGGAGTAGAAGGAATTGATTATGTGGACAGGTGTGGTTTATACACAGAATGGTAAAGTAGAAGAAATTATTTATTAGTTATACATGATTATTATGTAAAGTTATATATAAAAATTAATATTACAGTTTAAAGGTTGGTGACCTATCCAGAGTGTACCCCACCTATTGCAGCTGAACAGACTAGCCCCCAAGCTGGATGGCTGTTCAACATGAACTTTTCTTACTAAATGGTCATTAAGAAATACAATTGCAGTAAAAGAACATGACCTGGACTGAGTCCAAATCCAATCTGTTCCAGGATGAATTGGAAAACCAACTATGATCCAACATCAGTGCTGGGCCTCAGCAATGCTCTTCTATCTAAGTTGGAATATTTGATGTGTTTTGAGTTTTTAGCCGCATTAAACAAGGTGGCCAAAAAAAATAGAGCTAAAAGCATCCTTACTTTTAGCTTCCTTCACAAACTTTAAAGACATTTTCGTGGTTTGAAGAAACTGAAAATTCCTGGAAAATAATTCGAAAGGAACTGAGGAGATTTAATGGCTGGAAAATGTGGTATTCCATAAACTACAGATAAAATATTTTAGTAAATAAACAAAATCATGTTTTCTACTCCACCATTTGGAGGAAAGACTGTTTTAACTAACTGTTTTAGTGTGGTCACTTTTTTCATTTTGTTTGAAAGTTAATGGAAGTGGTTGCAGTCTTTTGGTTATAGATGAAGAAGTGTAGGGAGAAGGAGTAGAGAAGACGCAATCATTTTACGTCTCATATTAAGGTGCACTGGGCTTAATTATACACCATACATTTTAGGGAAACATTGCAATAAAAAATGTAAGTACTGTGGGGGTGCTGAGAGTAGAGCATGTAATATTATACTGTCAGGAGTATGAGAAAGAAAAAAGACAGTCTCTGATTCAAAACCCAAATAGAATGAAACTGAAACTAGATTTAATTGGTTTACTTAGAAATAACCCAGGAAGTAAAAGTTATCAGGTCATAATTAGGTATCTTAGACAAACCCATTTGTATAATAGCATCCAATCCTGAAGTGTCATTCTGGTTCCCACTCCATACAAGTTGGTGGCAGTAACGCACCAATTCGTTCTTTGTCAACCGCTGATAAAGACCAAGAAGAAGAAGAACAAACAAGGGAAAAGTACGGGAAGCTGGAGTTGAGCTGAGCAACAGCATCCGAGTAAAAAATTCTTTGTTTTGAATGAAGATGGACTCCGAGGCTGTGGAGATAGACGGCAGCGTGATGGAAGGAGTGAGTACTCACTTTATGTTGGGGAGGTGATCACATGAAAAGCTGCCGGCTTTCCCCGCCGCTAATGTGCTAGCACAATGCTAGCGCGGCGGACAGCAGGCGGTTTTTAGCTCGCTGATGTCGCTTCTGTTTCCCCTTCATTTGCTCTGTGCAGGGCGGACAGATCCTGAGAGTCTCGGCGGCGCTCAGCTGCATCATCGGGTCCTCCATCAAAATCACCAAAATCCGAGCCGGCAGAAGCACGCCGGGTCTGAGGTGAGTTCCTAGCTCAGTGCTAGCAGGCTAGTGTTAGCCTATTCATTAAAGTTGATGCATCGGTTAACTTAATAAAAGTATTAACAAAAACAACCGATTGTCCGATTTATTTACATTGGTTTTATTTGCTCTACCGTGTGAACGCTGATTAGTTAAATACCTCCCGGTTTGTCTGTGTGCCTTTGTTGAGACTCAGCTGATTTAAAAACGCAGCTTCTGTGTGAAAAGAAGACCATCTGTCACCTTCAGCTTCAGTCTGCACAGC